ATATGAGGTGACATGCCCGCGATGCCTTCACCGCTGTCCGGTAGCTGCGTTTCTGATCCAGGTTCGAGCTCGCGCAACATCGCAGGCGATCTCCCATATAATCCTTTGTATGGCGATGCTCCACGCACTGACAACATGCAGTTCTTGGCCAAAAACGATTCGTCGACGATGACCTGAGGTGATACTGCTTTGCCATTTCTCTCCAGTTGTGCTGGACTGCGTCGCGCAGCAGGGCGCTGCGACGCTCCACTATGCGAGCGTGGGCGCCACGGGGTCGGAGGTTGAGCCGAAGACCCCACCGATCCGCCCATGCCGACGCGACATCTGAGTCCAATGCACCTTCTTCATCACTGGTGAGAACGCGCATGGGACCAAATACTATTATCCATATGTGTTATGTCATTCAGTATGTCCTGTGGTGCACGACCCTCGATGATGAGTGCTGCTAACCATCTGATGCAGCAGTCAACTAGGTGCAGTACTGTGTGAGTACTCCCCAGAACTCCAGAACACCAGGTCCACCTGGACCTCCATGTTGAAGTCTATCACGATCTTAGTCGTAGCGTTGGGCCTGACTCCGACATGCTGCCACTATCGACACACAGGACAAGTATCCACGATTGAAGCCACCACGTCAATCGCCTCCAGAGGGGCGCCAGATGCTCTCATGAGTTCCTTCGTGCACTCGATCGGCGCGTGCCACAGCCTGATGTAAAGCTTCCTTACTGTTCGTCGCACCACGATCGGATCCAACGACTTAAAGTAGATTGAGAGCCCGTCCAGCTGACCAATCTGACCAATCAACTCCGGCAGGATCCGCTTGAGCACCCGCTTCTGTTCTCGTCGCTGCTCGATTTCGTCGTTCACCTGCGGGAAGGCGCCTTGCAGGATGATCTGGCGGATGCGGTGCTGCTGGTGCTGGCGCTGGTGCTGGAGCTGGTGCTGGAGCCAGTGCGTCGAGTGGCACCTCGCCCTCGGCTGCAGCCGCGGATCCCGCTGTTGCCGCTGGTGGAGCCGCAGGCTCCAAATCCCTGGGTCGCCCACCTCCTCGCTCAGCACTCGACGCATCAGGAACTACACTACGTGCTCTAGGCTGCCGCGGCAGCTCAACGGATGATCCAAGTCCACGGTGCGCGGCCAGCTCCCAGCGACAACGATCATCGCCCGTATGCGACCTGTGTTTCCTCGGCTTGCCTGCCTTGCATCCAGGGCAGTCATCTCCGATGGCTGCTGCGTTGGGGTATATGCAGAGGCCGCGTCGTGCGCGGGTAGGGTCGCGTGCCGACCTGTTGCCACTGCAGGCCGGACATCTCTCCCTAGTACGCGCGCCTGTGCGTGAAACTGTCGGGGCTGCGCCTGACGACGACGCCGCGCCTGCCGCCGGCGCTGCCGGAGCCGCCGCCGACGATGACGACGCCGAAGGGGACGACGGTGGTCGGTCAGGATCTTCACCTTCATCTCGACCCCGAGCTCCAGTGGAGATCTCAGGATAATACAATGAAAGATGCTTCCTCTCTGGATGCTGTCGCCAATAATGCCAAACGAAACACGCGACTCCTTGAGCGATACATCCAGCTAACTTCCAAGGCCATACCTGCATCTTTTTAGATATCGACCCACCCTTGTGTTAATGTCGGCAATTTGTTCTCCTGCCTTCACACCGTAGTGGCCGAAGTATGAAGACCAACGCCTCACAGCTCGCCACGAAGTGCGTCGGTTTCTTCACAGGGAGATCGGTGCGAGGGCATCGAAGTCCAGCTTGACACTGGTGCATGATAGTCTCTGCGACGTCCGGTAACGCTCTGACCTCAGTCCACATCGGTGTCGTAGAAATCAGATCCAGCGGGCTGTTCGGCAAGATAGCGTCGTCCATGCTGAACATGGCATCTGGCAACTTCTCCGCATAAGTGCTCCAATGGTTCGTATATTCGCCGTGACGCTTCGCGCGCCTCAGGTTTCATCACTTGCTGGTTGACACAATTCCACATACTTCCACATGCCAGCCCGCTCCAGAGCGCTGAACAGATCTACGCTGCGTTGCAAATCGAAATTCTTGCCCGCATTAGGTGGTGCATGCGTCGTAGTAACATTCTCGTAGTGCGACCTTCACCTCTCATGGCCTCCACGATGTCCGTGAAGCGATGTATCTTACCGTCTGCAATCCAATATTGTAACATTGTAAAAGACTGCCCAAGCTCTGAAATACGAGGTAGGTCGCGTCGCACTGGTTGTTCGTTATCCTCATTTCGATGTCGTCATCGTCACCTCTGCCGTACCACATGCCGTGGTCTGAAGCCAAGTGCAACGCGGCACTCCAATCCATCTCGTGACGTACTGAATCAACCTGCCCATGGTCATGTTGAAGGTCGGTAGTGACATGATCCATCCAGCGCTCCGAATATGCTAGATCGATCGAACTCATATCGTCGCCACAGTAATCCGTCCATACCCTCTGGTAGCCATTCCTGCGCTTGATCTTCTTGGTACTTATCGAGCTCAAGCCTGCTGCTGCTCGATAGTTTGCGTCCTTCTCCTTCTGTTTCTGCCGCAGCCGAGCCTCTGCCGGATAATGTTCCCTGTGTCTGCAAACATTACCACCTTTTGTCGTCCGGCGTCCATGACACTAGAAATGTCTGCAGCATCCTGTTCATGGAATTGCGACTCTGGTATCATCTCCTCGTGTCCGCTATCGATGTCAGAAGACCGTCGGTGACCCACGTGTCGCCAGAGCTGAGTAGCCCGCTCCTGTAACATGGAACGCCTCGCCAGAAAGATGGCACCCTGGTCGCGTTGATGTTCAACATCTTGATAATGTTGCCCATGACCACAAGCATTCCACACGGGGAACTTAATCGCGTTCATGATCTTGGTGACTTGACCAGCTGGAAGTTGATGATGTCCGATCTTCACGCCCAGTCTGCACCATCGTATAGACAGCGCTCGAAACACGGTAACACTTCCCAGCCCAATGAGCCCGCTAGTTTCCCGCATGAGATTTATTGAGCTTCCTTCTGGTATCACCGAACACGAAAGTTTCAAAGACTCCAACATGATCTGTGCCAGATTCCATGCCCTTCGCCGCTCTCGATTGCAAATTCCCGCCGCAGGTGATCCAGATAATGGAGAGAGCGTGATCCACCGCCGCTTTACTATGGAAAATTGCAAACGTTTTCCTCCGGAACCCGGGGGTCGCCCCCCCCCCCCCCCCCCTCCGAAAAATCCCCCCCCCCTGCTGGAACCCCCCCCCCCCCGCAAAACCCCCCCTCCCCTAACCCCTCCCCCCCTCCCTCCTTCACTACCGAACCCCCCCCCCCCCCCCCCCTCCGGATCCGGAAAACCGGGGGGGTCACTACCGGTTCGAACCCCCCCCCCCCCCTCCCCCCCCCTACTCACCGCCAGCAAACGACTCCCGGTCCCCACCACCGTCCGCATCACATCCCCCACTGGTGTTCCCAGCACCACTGTCCTCACCACCGCTGTCCCCACTGGTTCCACCACCGCCCCTACTGTCCCCACCAGTGGCCCCACCACTGTCGCACTGTCCCCGCTGTCCCCAGAACGGCCCCAATCACTGCCCGACTATCCCCACTGTCCCCACTGTCCCACTGACTCCTCCGCTGTCCCACTGAGCTGTCCCACTGTTCCCACCACTGTCCCCACTGTCCCCACCACTGTCCCCACTGTACCTCTGTCCCATTGTCCCACCGCCGTCCTCGCAACCGCCTTCACCACTGTCCCCACCACCATTGTACCCTCCACTGTCCCACTGTTTCCACCTCATTCCCATTGTCCCCACACCACTGCCCCCATCACCACCGTCACCACCACTGTCCGCTGTCCCCCCCTGTTCCCACCATTGTCCCCACCACTGTCCCCACCACGGCCGCCCCCACCACTGTCCCACTGCCCCACTGTCCCCACCACTGTCCCGCTATCCCCTCACCGCTGCCCCCACCAACACCGTCCCCACCACTGTCCGCACCCCCACTCGGTTTTCGAACGGGTGGGGGGGGTTCGAACCGGTAGTGACCCCCCCCCGGTTTTCCGGATCCGGAGGGGGGGGGGGGGGGGGGGGGGTTCGAACCGGTAGTGACCCTCCATGATGAGCAGGGGGGGGGGGGGGAGGGGTTCGAACCGGTAGCGACCCCCCCCCGGTTTTCCGGAGGGGGGGGGGGGGGAGGGGTTCGAACCGGCAGTGACCCCCCCCGGAGGGGGGGGGGGGGGAGGGGTTCGAACCGGCAGTGACCCCCCCCGGTTTTCCGCCAGCAGCGGTAGAACACGCTCTTTCAGATAATGCGAACCATAGCAAAACGGGTTCCGTGTTGGACATTTCCGACACTGCTCGCTCCAATCTACTAAGGCTCATCAAACTTTATCGTATCAAAGCGTGTAGTCTGCACGTGCCGTCTTGAACCCCGGCCACACTCTAAGAGAGCCTGCTGACGAATATATTCGATACCGCCCATGAACCAGGCTCTAAAACTTAGACGCTCATGTCCTGGATCGCTCGTCGCGGTAACTGCTTGCTCCGGAAGCACACCGCGAGGATGCTGAGGATCAGGCTCCACAGAAGGAGGCCGACGCTCAAGTTGCCCGGGGTCGTCAGCTCTGCAATCAGCTGCGACAACTTCAGGTGAATTACGATCAGTAACTGAATTCAAGGAATTCTCGTGTGAAACTCTACCCGGATCACCTTGTCCGAGCACTTCGCCATGCACGATCAGCTGGTCCTGCGAGGACATAATCGGAGGTTCCGTATGAGGCTGCTCCAACTCTGTCGTCGACGGCGACGCGGGGAAACCAACATCAGCCTGACCATCAGCGCGCGACCCGCCGCGATCCTCAGTGGACAGGGGAACGACACCTCCAGGCGGCGGCTTCGCCTGGTCGCCATCCCCGCCCGCCCATCATTGACTGCAGTTGTGAAAGAGGTTGAGCGTCGCAGAAGACGACGTCGCTCCTCCTTCACTGCTGCCAGCCAACTGTTGGAACTCACTGACCGGCAGCATCAAATGTCCACTCTCCGAGTTCTCCAGGTTGCACGTCCTCGTGCCTGGGGGTAGCTGAATCGCGGCGTCGCCCGGGCCCAGGAAGTGGATGCAGTTGTTGAAGATGTCGAGCATCGTGCGCAACTGCCTCAATGAACGCAGACCGAGAAGTGAAGGAAAATCCGAATCTGGTACGACTGGTGCAGTGTACACCGCTGGGAGTGCCCGCCGACTCATGCCCCTGCGCTGGCAGGGCTATCGGAAATGCCCCAAACTGAACACATTGCTGCCTTCCGTTGCCCACGCCCTCTACGTTCAGCACCTCGCGCATGGGCCGGTACTGAGCGGGAACGCCTGCGTCGTTGGCCATGCCCACTTGGACCCGGTGAGGTTGTCGCGAGCACCAGGATCCACCAACAAGCCTTCTCTCTTGGGTCAGCCTCGTTCGATCATGCCACTTACCGCGTTTCTCGCGTGCATCCCTGGTGCCATGCTGCTCATAGGTCGGGAAGAAGATCAGAGAAATCCGCCGCGCCGTCGTACCCGAGCCTGAAGCCGTCTGAGCCGACGTCGCTGCACCAGAATCCATAGATGGCATGCCCGATGTAGCTGGCTTCGGAGATCCGAAAGACAGGATAGAAGTGAGATCGCGAACAGCCTGGTCACTCATCCGCTGGGGGTTCCACTGATGTGCAGAACCGTCATCATGCTCGCCATGTCCGCGACACTCATCGGGATCCTTGTGCTTGCCTTTTTCTTTCTTACCTTTTCCTGGTAAATGTTGTGGATTATCCTGTTCCTCGTCTCCTTCACGTCTCCGATGGGCCCGGCGACTTCCTTTTGCTGTCGATACGCGTCTGCTCACGCCGCCGAACTGACTGATTGGAGACGCGCGCGGTACTGATCCAACCGAACTGCCACCATCACCACCTGCCCAATCCATGGGACTCGCTCTCACTGACGTCTGACTGGCGTTCGTCGTGCCAACGTGCGAGCTCCAGGGGTCGTCTTCTTCGTGGACCGATACCGCTGACCAATGATGATTCGCAATATGCTCTCGATCGTCTTCGGCACGACTGGTCATGAACACGCCTGCTGGCCTCGCCCCTGAAGCTATCTGCACACCAGCCAACAGCCCAGACTGCGGCGCATACATGGATCCTACGTAGGATTATTGACGTACAGGCACTCCAGCCGTGGGGCCGCGCGCGTGATGTTGTCCAGCGGCTTGAGGGCAATCCTTGATGAGATGTTGATCAGATTCACATATGTGGCAGCGCATAGTTGGTCCATCAGGGCCTCGGGGGTTAGTCCTGCGCTTACCACCTGGAGGAGGAATAGAGCGTGGTGGTATAGCGTGCTGTTCTTCATAGTAGTTACGATTCCATGAGCTTGCCTGGCTGGCCCCAACGAATCGTTTACCACTGCCCTGATAGCCGTTTCCTGAATGCTGCGTTCCTTTTCCTTTACTCTTCCTCTGCTGCCGACGATCATAACGCGTATATTTCTTCTTGAACGTCTTCCAACGTCGTCGCGTGACCAAGAAGTCCTGCCAGGGTGTCTCCGCGCGCGTCGAGGGGTCCACGTTGCTGAGATATGTGTCACGGTCCGCTTGAGGTACTTCGTCGCCACTACTGCCACTACTGCTCCAGTCCTCCTAGTCGGCCAGGAACGCTTCACCATTCATGCTAGGATGCATCTGTTGTTGTGCTTGGTAGATCGGCTGTCGCTGCAACGCCGGGAATGCCGTCATCGGTGCGCCTCCTATAGTCAGCGCGCCGCTCTGCCAGGGATCCGTCATTTCGAAAGGTTTAGAGGTATTGCCAACACCAGCCGCCGCTGGGAAGTAGAAATTGCCATGAACACGTTGCATGTGCAGCTGAGCTCCCATCATACCGTGACCTTGTCCATTCACCGTAGCTGTGGTAGCTATGCCACCATGCTGATGTACGTGTCCGACCCTTCGCGTTGATCCGATCAACTGACTGAACAGTGCGTCCGTCTCAGGCAAGGTGCCGCGGAATCCGATCAATAGGTTAACCCATTCAGCTGGCGGTATACGGAGGCCTGATAATAGAAGCCATGCGACACCACCTGATCCGAGATCCAAATTGCCGCATGCACCCGCTCGGAACCCCAGACTCGTAAACCTTCCAAGCTTCCAAGCGTCGTGTCGATGTCTTCGCCAGGCATTCTTCGGAAACTGTTGAGCTCGGCTATAGATGATGACGCGGTCTCCACATCCAATGGGGCAAACGGTCGATGCAACCCACGTGATATGATGGCACATCCTGCGACTTGTCTCGTGCCCAAACCCTCGCCGAGATCTCTCATGCCTCCGTCGCGTACTGTTGCTGGTTCCAGTGAGCCGGCCAACTCTCTCGCCACTCCCCCTAGTCGTAAAATAACTGCCGCGCCTTCAGCCTGGTCCGGTAGTTCACGTGCCAGAGCCCACCATACGACGTGCCGAGACCAATGCTTGAATGGATGGAACCTCTGCCATCTGCTGGCCCACGCCGGTGGGACTTTCATAGTGCTCATGATGCTGACTTGATCCGCCGCGCTTCCAAATCCTGCTGACCGGGCATTCGTTGGTGGCATCATGTCGCCGTCGAGATCTCAGTCGTCGCAGTCGTAGTGGTAGTGCACGAGATCGAAGTAGACGCAGTCAGCGATGTCCGTGGATCGCGCCGCCAGGCGGGCGGCGAGGGGGAGCCGAAGCTCCGCTACCAAGGTCGATTGACCCTGGCTGGATGGAAGATAAGAATAAAGAGGATGTTTATCAGAACCTGCACAGAATGAAACTCCTAGACGCGCCCTTGAATAAAACGGTTGCGGCGGGCAGGCGGGCGATGCGCACGCATGCGCACGCATGCATATACACGACATCATCTCTCCTGCACTGCGACTCCTCCTGCTCCGTCCCCCCCCCTTCTGCGCTCGACCTGAGGCGCCGCAGAATCTATGGCGCTTCAGCCGTGAAGAGCGCGGTTAGGACGCACCTTGCAACCGTCGCTAGCCACGCTGATCGGACAAGGCCCACAGCGGGCACGACCACGGCGGCGGCAAACAACGACCAAGGAATCAGGGAGGACCCAGGGCCCGCCACCGAAGACCGAACGCAGGCAGCTGGGGTGCGCGGCCAGGACGCCAACGCACGAAAAGAAGAGACACTCAAAGTCGCGTCTGCAAATCGACCCGAAACACCTTGGCCCCGAGCCGAAACTCGCCACGCGCAGGGCGGCACACGACTTTCTTGCCGTGGCTCGTCGCATGCGGGGGACGCGGCTGACCGAGAGAGAGGGCCCTCGCGGCAGCGCAGCAGGCGCACTGAGCGCAGCCCACGATGACGGGACCATCGCGGAGCGAAACAGACAAGAGCGCGCCTGCGAGAGCCTGCTGCCAGCTGCAGCTGCGCAGCTAAAACTTGCGAGACAATGTCGGAGGGAGCAGGCCCTCTTACTAAAATTAGCTGCATCTGGGGAGGCTTGCCCTTGAGGTGCTTGGGCAGATGCCCGCAGTCAGACAAACCCCCGAGACGACCGATCCAAACGCTCCACGTTTTGACAACCTTAAAAGCCTCGCCTGCAGCCGTTGCCTGCGGATGCCGGGTAGACGCGCGGCCTTTGCTGCTCCACGCGCAACGAGGTCAGCCTGCTGATTCCCAAATCGGCGTCTTGCTGGCACACTGCCAGCCAGCGCGTCGTCAACTGTGGCGTGCGCTGTCGCCTTCAGCAGATCTAGCGCCCCCCATTCATCGAAAAGCCGCCAGAACTGGCGCCGGAGATGGGCGCGTGAGGCGACGCAAGACGCGGTGGCCACGCGGCCGCGCTCATGGAATCCATCAGGAACGTCACGGGAATCAGTAAAAACGCAAATAGGTGGCGCGGCGCAGCGAAGCGCGCGAACGACCGCAAGCAACTCGGCAGCATCAACGCACTAATGGGGTCCAAGACAGGCCCCAGCACGTTCACAGCAACAGCGCCACGCCCAGGGTCGAGAGCCACACACACACACACACACACACACGCCCATCCAGCAGAGGTCAGGGAGGCAAAGATTGCTGCCAAAACCGAGCCGTCGACAAAGACATCACCAGAAAAGAAAACCAGGATCGCCGCATCCCGAAGCGGCTTCCAACCCCGGCGGCGGGCGAGAAAGAGCGGGCATCGGAACGAGGCACCTCTCGGCGAAAATCGCAGCGAGCGGGGGGCCAGACGCAGCTTGTGCAACGCGCTCTCGAAAGGGAGGAGCACAGCGTCGGCGAAGGAGCGCGCCCACTTGGCCAGGGCAAAGTCAACAGCGGAGCTGAGCGAGACATCCCGCGGCCCACTGCCCCTTCTGAGGCCACTGCCCCGCGACAATAAAAGATCCGAGGTGCGCTCTCTGCACGGCTGGCGCGCCTGAACTCAGCAACGATTTAAGAGGCTGCAACAGGATACCTCGCTCACACTCTGGCTCTTCTACATGCTAGGGTGGGTAACGTCGGCGCCGTCAGGCCAGATCCACGACGCTGCGGAAGTAGCGGCGATGCCCACGCGCCTAACGGAGGCCCACGGGGCACAACAAAGGGCCCCTGATGGAGGACCAAGGGCGGGCCAATCCAGACAGCCTAGCACGAGGCTCACAGAGACCTCCATCGAGGGCCCAGAAGGGCAACCGGGAGCCAGCACGGGCGCGCAGGAAGGAGATCACGGGCAACCACGCGGCCCTAAATATGGGGTCTGAACGTGGCACAGGGGAGAGGATGAGCGCGAGGGTGCGGGACTTGCCACCTCGACGATGGTCTTGCAACTTACCAGCAGCTCCTCTAAGGGGCTCCAACTCCTGCCCATTGGTTCCCATAAACGACGAACCATACAGAACAGATGGCCCCGGCGCACTTCGAGCCATGCACTCAAGCACGCGGCGACGAGGTTCGGAGCCAGAAAGAATCGACATGCGCTGCCGCCTAAGACGCATCGTCTCGACACGGCTGGCCGCGGCGGCCTTTTCCCCCGACCAACCCAACGGCAAAATAATCCAAGGTTCCGATCGGATCTGACGAGCAGGTGTTGGAGGCTCCTCAACTTCAAAGCGATGTCCGCGCGCGCAGACGGCGAGCCCCCGAACGCTCGGGACTTGCCGCCGGAAAACTCGAGGCCGACGGCTGTGAGCCCGCTGCGGAGCTTCCTGCCAGCAGCGACGACGCCCTGGGCCACCCTCTGCTCGGTGCCCCAACGCAAGAAGCCAACGTTGTCGACGTTGACGGACAGCTGGACAGCCGGGGGGGCGGCCTGAACAGCATCGAGCGGGCCTAGAAGAAGGAGCTGCAACATGCAGGCGGCACAGGCACATCCTGGAATCACCGTTTGCTCCACATCGAGAGCA